CTTTCGCAAAATATCTTCGCAAGGTACACCACCTGCAGGTAATTTTGGGACAAAACTTTTTAGTTTTTCTTGTAGCCCCAACATTTTTCTTTTGAACAGCGAAAACCGCAACTTTTTAGCTGCTTCCCAGGAAAAGTTATTGAGAAAATGACCATCCTTTTTCTATTTTGAAATGGATAGTACTTGAAGTTAAGAATGAAGATAGTTTATGAGAGTAGTGATGCTGATGAAACAGTTTCTGATAAACTAATTTCAAAGCAGATTAATGGTGAATTAAAGTTACGCCATATTACTGATCGTTTTCTTGTCAAAAGATCACCAGAACTTATTCGAAAATATCGGTATTTATGCACTAAGTGTGATATTATTCTGGGGAGTTTAGCTAGTGATAAAGAAATTGTAGTTTGTAAACCTGATTACGGGTCGGACCGTTTCAGTTCCTACATTAGTGAAACTTTATGATCAACGAACCAAAATTTCTCAACCATCAATTAGACTAATTCACCATCACATTCTGCAGAATTTTGCCGATGTCGCGCTTCTGTTTCATAGGTTAGAGTCTTTTAAATAGGCATACATAGAGAACAAAGACTATATTAAATAATGGCAAATTGGTTGAGTTTGTATTTCATTGTATTGACTTCTGTTCTTACAATAAATAGTCAGGTTCAAATACCACAAAATTTTATACCATTCGGCGGTGATCAAGGTGATCAAAAATTAGCTCGTCCAATCGATACTATCTCATCACCAATACCAATTAAAATTCGATTTCCATATTTCAATGAAAAATACGATATTATACATATCTATAGCAGTGGTCTGATATTGTTTGGTAATCGAACTTACGTTTTGCCACATAACTCACCAGGACCATTTCCGTTGAAAGATTTTATATGTGTTGCACCGTACTCGGCTGATACAGATCAAACTGTCGATCCCACGAGTGATATATTTTATCGTGAAATAGATGATACTTCAACACTTCGAATAATTACTGAAATGGTAAAGACTGGTTTTCCAACATTAGTGTCACACACCATGTTATGGGCTTATGTTGTCACGTGGTATAAAGTACCACCAGGTCATGGTTGGTCAACACCTCGAAACACATTCCAAGCTATTATAACAACGAATGGTATTTATTCGTTTACAATATTCACTTACTATAAACTGGAATGGTCCGCTGGAGCATGGGGTGGTTATCCACAAGTCGAATTTAATGCTGGTGATCAAGAAAACTATTATACGATTGAAAAGTCGTTTTCACCAAATATTCAAAGTATAGTGGATGACTCAAATATTGGTGTGCAAGGACAATTTATATTTCATACAACTGGCGATATCGGAAATGTTGAGTGTAATACAAAAGATGGATTATTGATCTCACCTTACCGTGGTTTAACTTTTGGAGGTTATGATTTTCGTTTATATGGTATTTGTTTCAATGAAACATCTTACATTGTAGAAATTGATAATCATGTTGTCGATACCTGTGAAATATCACTGATGTATATTGTATGTACAATGCCAATGCTATATGATGGACCAACATTGCTAATAAAACTCTACAACAGTAATCGGACATTGATTGCTTCAACAGAATTTATTGTTGAAATACCTCCAGATAACAGTATAATATAGTCAATGTTAATAGAAGATAACAAATTTGATGGTAATATAATTAATATCAATGATGAAGATACATTGATATTAAATTTTAAGAAAAACTCATTAACATTAAAAAAGCGATTTGACATTATATTGTATTATTATTAAGCAGAATTAAAAGATGCGACTGAGTTTATTAGCTTAGCGTTTCATACATTAGGCACAGAAATATGGCGATTAACACTCAATTTAATATTAGATCGCAAAAAATTAACAGAAAGTACTGAAGATTGTAAAAGGTGGCATAGTGAGCAACTTAACCCAGAGAGTTACATTGAACAAATCCCAACGTGTTTTTGTCGTGTACCGTCTACTGGTCGAGATCCATTTCCAAATCCTTTGCCTGGTGGAACATTTCAAATTGATAGTGGATGTGATTTTCATAAAGATCTAGATAAGACATGTGCCTATCATCAAGGTGCTCGTGGTTGTTACCGTGAACAACAAAAACAGAGGGGACCTGGCGCTCAGTGTTGTTATGACTCAAACGGTCGCTGGATAAACAATCCTAAAAACGGTGGTGGTACATTAGATGTTCAAGCACCAACTGGATCCCTGTTACAAATACTTAAACATCATCGAGTCGATGTGGCACCATTTTATTGGTGTTGTAGAGGAGGTCAGGCTTCTGAATTATGCCAACTGTACTTTGAAAAACGTCCAGCAGGTAAATGTGAAAATGAAATATTACCAATTCTAGCAGGCGGCAATGGAGATTCACATTTCTTAACGTTAGATGGTACAAATTATACGTTTAGTGGTTATGGTGAGTATGTATTATTAAACATAGAAAATATATTAGAAGTACAAGTTCGGTTAGCACCTATCGCATCAGATGAGCTTGAAAATCAAGCGACATCTATAGTAGCGTTTGTGATTAAAAATAGAAATTATGCCAGAGTGCAATTTGAATTATTTCAATCATTGAAACTTGTTGAAATACGAGTAAATAATCGTCTGATAGAATCAAGTGTTTTTCAAACATCGCACAACAATGATGACGATGATGATAACAAGGATTAAAAGAAAATTGTAAAGGTTTACTTGGAAATATAGATAAAGATCAAACAAATGATTTAATATTTTCAATATTGGACCAATTTTAACATCAGATGACATAAATGATGAACATACCATATTTAATTTTGGTGAATCATGGCGTACAACATCAAACATGTCGTTATTTTACTATATTGTCAATGATAACCATGATAAACATCAAAATCTAAACTATCGTCCAATACTCAAAAGTGAATTATTTGAGAAATATCAAAATTCTACTCGTTTAACAATAGCTCAGCAAACATGTGAAGTATTATCATCATCCCAACAAAAAGAGCAATGTGTCTATGATGTATTAATAACCAATGATAAAACAATGTTGAAATTACATCAGGATTTTCATACAAGTGTCGATGATTGGAAAGAATATGCTGACTTAGTTGAGCAAGAACTCAACACAACCACAACAACAATATCAGCAACAAAAGCTGGATCTGCTCGTTTGAGTTTACATTTCTCATTGATCATATTCATGTTAATCATTATTCAATAACGATTATCATAGCTGCTAAAAGCCGATTTAAGTATCTAAATAGAAATTTGTATAACATTTCAAAACTGTTTCGACATAGTTCAAATGATTTTGTCTCTTCTAGCTTTTTATACTGGATTCTAAACTGAGAATTATCGTTAACGTTTCGTTAGATTCGAGGACTAACTTTTTCAATGAATTATAACTGTTACATGCTAACTCCCTTTCAGTAGAATTCCCTTGACTTGTTTCTGTTCACCTTTATACGAGTGAATAGCATAGCCATCGTGCCGTTTAGAAAAAAATTCTCAGAAAATAAGGCGCTTACAAAAGATGTTCAGAGTGTCAGGGTGAGTTTTCCTACACCAGATGTGAAGTAGAAAACCTTTTTCCCTACACTTTATAATCAAAACAGCGAAAAAATGTGTTTTCGATGCTACACCAGCTGAATCCCCATGGTGATTGTGGAAAAAAATAATTATATTTGAGATAAATAATAGGCATTATGCATGGATCTATGGATCTTGATGGGCTAAAGCCGATGATGCTACTCTCAAAACTTTATCACGTAGATTTTCCATTGGAAATGCCGAAAATGAAGTTTCTTAACTGAAGAGTGACTCTTGGGAATCGTTACTCGCACTTACTGAACTAATGCTGTTGAGCTTGGTGGTTGAATAGAGCACATTTAGCCGAATCGAATGATGTGTCATAAGTTGAATTTCAGTTCTATTTTCATTGAAAATAAGCATGACGAAATCTCACCGGACATTTCTTGCTTAAAAATCTTACCGGATTTTTTCGCGTATTTTTAAAATTCTCTTCGACGATGCAATATTTCAGTTTCATTTTTTTACCAAATATCAAACCTCATGAGGTCTAAAACGATTAAAGTTTGATCTAGATTGGAGTATTATTTATGGAAATATCGAAAAAACAAAATCGAAAATCTCACCGGACATTTTGTGGGTGAAGCCGTGATTTCCAATAATACAGCAGAATTTTTAGTACAAAGAAAGCACTTTCCAAATTATATTTTCTTATTAATTTGTTATGCACTCGAAGCTGTATCGATTCTACTTATTGACAATCATTTCCACGTTTTTCTTTAACTCGACATTACGCCTTGAAATCTCACCGAACATAAATTCCAAAGTGAATAACAGAGCAAAGATCGGCTTTTTCTGATTGGAATTTTCCCTCTGTCTAGAATCAAATAATGTGACATTATAGAGAAACATGTGGCCTACAAAATAGAAAAGCGATATTACTCTTGAAAGACTAAATGTATTCGAAAAAATCCGTTATCTTTCAGTAGACGGCGGCAAAGATCAATCAACGCTAAAATGCAAAAGTTATATCTCGTAAACTGTAGAAGCCAAAAAATTGGCTGCTAGCACTGCAGTAGACCTAGCGTAGATAAATAAAATAAAAAAGAAATTTTTAAATTGCTTCATAGCAAAAGAAATTATCCATTTTTTACAAGTAGAAAATGAATGGTAAAAATAACTATGCCATTCACTCATACATTAGAATAAAACGTTGAGTTCTTTTTCTGTAGAGAATCTTACGGCGTTCGTTTGGTAAAGGTACTACTTCAGAAGGAGCTCCCCTAGTGGTATTCCTGTTTCATCTTTGCTGACATCTGATCAATCTTTTTACGTTTGCAACCCCATAAAGGGGAGTTATGCTGGCGTGGCCCATCGAACTGTGGAACATATCGAAATAAAAAGGGGGAGGGTAAGTCACTCCAGAATATAGCTGATCGGAAATTAATGACTCAATGGAAAAATAAACATAGTCATAATCTGAATCTTATCGGGGGATCTGATCATAACAAAGATCTGCTACTATTTGCTAATGATCCATCAACATTTGAAGAATTAGTTGACGAAACAAAGTGGCCTGTTAAACTGAACAATGTTGAATTCGAAATCAGAATACTGCGTACCTTTCCTCTGTCATACTCGTTACTCATCATGGTGTTGACGAAAAAATGTTACTGTGTATATAATGTGTAAATATAATGTACTGTGTATAACATAACCAAATTGCAAAAATAGTTTTTGTTTCGTGTTTTTTCACTCTCGCTCTGATTATTTTGCGTTTAGCTTTTTTATATTATTTACTTCCCTAGTAACCTATACATTTCTTGACAGGATCCTGGAGAAATCCGGCCATGATCCTGCCAGGATTTAGCTGGCTTTTTGGTAGGATCCTAGGAAAATCTTATAGAATCCTAAAGAAATCAGGTTTACCGGAAAGTTGTAGGATTTGCCAGGATTCTGTTAGGATCCTAGCAAGAAAATGCGATGACTGAATCATAATGTAGCAGGAATTATTTAGGATTTTAGTAGGAAAAGATAATTCTTGAACAGGAAT